AGTGGGCTAAAAGGAGCCAATCGTCCAGGTAGTTGAGTATATGGATGCCCTGGAGCCGCAGCGGGGCCAGAGCAGCATCCATACACTTTGTGAACGTCCTTGGCGCTAGAGCGAGGCCAAAGGGGAGGACCCTGTACTGGTACGCTTTTTCTCCAAAGGCGAACCTGAGGAACTTCCTGTGTCGCCGTACAACCTGGATGTGGAAATAAGCATCCTTGAGGTCTACCGCCACGAACCAGTCCCCCAGCCGGATATGAGATATGATGGCCTTCAGCGTCAACATTTTGAATTTTCCCTTGTAAAGAGAGAAATTCAACCGGCGAAGATCTAGTATCGGCCGCAGGCCGCTCCCCTTCTTCGGGACCAGGAAGTAACGGCTGTAGAAGCCCTGTTCGACTTCCCCCGAAGGAATCTCTTCTATCGCCCCCTTCAGCAGAAGGGATGAAATCTCCTGCTGTAGTACAGAAGCCTGAGCGGCGCTGTCGACTACAGTAGGAAAGACCCTGTTGAAGCAGGGGGGGTTGCGACAAAACTGAAGCGTGTAGCCGAGCCGAACTGTGCGAAGGATCCAAGGCGATACCCCTGGTAAACGCTCCCATTCTTGAACGAAATGTGATAGAGGGAGAGGAGTGTTGCAGTGCAAGGGACATTCCTGAGGTAGGGTCAAAAACACCATAGAACCTTATGTAATTCTTGTATGGTTAAGTTCTGTAAAGGGCTGACGGCCAACATGCTGACAGACCAAAAGCCATTATGTAACTACATCTGTGCCACACATGTTTTTAAATTTAAAATATTCATTAAACAGTAAATCAAACCGTCTTTATACACAAAACCTGATTCAGTCATTTAAAAAAAAAAATTAAATATAGCATCTTAAACATAAAAGATGTGTGCTGATGATAGCTAATGGTGGAAGTGTCACGTCTCACCAATCTTTCTCACTCACTATCTGTAAGGAAAAAAAAAGACTTTAGTGTAACATATAGTTAGTACTACAATATATTAAAACAAGCGCATATAGGCCTTTTACAAATGATTATAAATCAACACTACACACATTCTGTTTCTACCACTCAAGACATAGCCTATAGCAGCCTTTCTCAAAGTGGGTGCCGCGGCACACTGGGGTGCCCCCTGACTTTGTCAGGGGTGCCGCCAAAAAATTACGTAGGCTAAAAATATATATATATATTTGAATTTACATAAATACATTCTTCTTCTTTTTAAACATATGAACGTATTAATAAAATTGTAAATTCATTTTAGATAAATATATATATATATAAAATTAACCATAAAAATCCGTCTCACAAGACCGAAGCAAGACACACACACAACTTGACGCAAGTGACGCAACCCATAGCAACGCGTTATAGCAACAACACCGACCGCGCGTCACACAGCAACTGCAGGCTCTGACAAACACACATACAAACTATACTATACTTCTGCATAACGTGTCTCTTTTTACAACAAAAATGTGAATTCTGCCGGTATTCAGACAGTCCCATGCATACAGATACAGATCCGGCCTACAATCGCCTACGTAGGCGAAATTTGTTTGACATTTCTAATCGTAAACACAGCCATGTTGAAGCCTGCAGTAATGTTTTTCATTGATGTTATGGCAGTCCACTCTGCTTATTGTTTTTCGAGAATCTTGCACTCCTGTTTGTCATTGTGCACGAAACTTCATGCCAATAAATCATCAGAAATATTGCTGACTTGTGCGCGTCTCAAGCGCGTTCTTTACGCTCGTGCTAATGCCTGTTAGTTGTCCGTGGATTTGCCTATATTTGGCGCTGAAAATGGAAACGTCCTTAGACATGGAAAATCGATTTTACAATCGATTCAATGAACGTTTAAATGTCTCAAAAATCGATCAGGATTTTTTCACAAAAGTGATAGCCCTGTAAAGTTGTTATTATTATTGTTATTTACAGTTCGTATTATGCTCTGTTCATTACTGTTCTGTCTAAATAAACAGGACATTTGCATTTACATTTGGGTTATTTTTTAATTTATATTTTACACTGGGGTGCCTTGAGATTTTATGCACTTTTGAAAGGTGCCCCGACTGAAAAAAGTTTGAGAAAGGCTGGCCTATAGGATCATTCAAAATAAAGACTACTCTAGTAAGGCTAGAGTTATTAGGCCTACTTAATAATATACTTATTATTAGTAAAAACTTTCAAAACAAAAACAGCACTTACCTGAAGCTAATTAGAGTTTGCTTGGGCAAAGGCTGTTGTTGTAGAGCGAGAACAGAGAGGGAAATAAATGAAATAACTGCATTTAAATAGTTGCCAATAACATGTTTAGTAATCCACCAATAGGAATTCAAGGACTGCCACTAGCCTGCTGCCATATGACTACAGCAGGTACCAAATGTTAACCATAAGTTAGCATATTCCATGGTGTGCCATTATACCCAAGCCACATATGATGATTGATCCTCAGTTGTATACCGTCATCTGGGCCATATACCTCAATACAACTACTGATCCCCCCAAAAATGGTCAAAGTCAAAATTACGACTTTCTATTTCTTTCACAATTTCAACTTAGTATGTCATAATTTCGACTTTTTAATGTCATTAATATGACTTACAGCGTGTGTTTTTTTGTTCGGTGTGCTACATGTGTGTATGAACAGGCAGCAGTCTGCCCCCATTGAGAGGAGGCGAGTGATTTACAGCACAACACAAGGGAGATGGATGGGAAAGGGGTGGGCATCTCGTATATGGGGGCAATTACAGTGACACTGAGGCGTTTACGGCTGATAAGGAACAGCGCAGTGGGAGTGAGCTCTTTTTCGCCCCTGACAACAGCTTTATAAAGAGTTATGGATTCTTGGTTGCTAATCCAGTGTCAGTCTTTCCTGTTCTGGAAATTGAACTGGATACACAAAGGTGTAACATCAACCGTTTCTCAATTTTATGCTCCCTTTTTGTTTTCCTTTACAACTAAAATAGAACATCATCTGAGGGAATCTTGCAACGTCGTGAAAGTTCACTGTCTTGGATGGTCTGGTGAATAGCTATTAAAAATAACGAATCATCTATCAGTGCCTGTGCATGATATATTTGGACTTTTAAAAAAAAAGGAGGAATGTACCAGTGTGGTGGCAGCACTGACATCAGCGCCGTTTATGTTAGTATACAGTATATCATCCATACAAAGTGGGTTTAATTCTTACTGGATTTATGTAGCCCCATTTCTTAAGATTGCATCAGTGACAACAATGTTATGACAAGCTTAATGCTAATCAGTCACACATCAGGTGTTCATCCTGCGGCACTTTAATTTGCATTTTATGCAAGTACTCTGCAGTACTGTTATAAAGATCTCTTTGACTTACATTACAAGCTATCAGTATTTCACTTCACATTTTGTATAAATAGGCCTATCAACAACTGCACCAAACTGCATAGTTTTGCTCAGTTTGGGCTTCTGAAAAAAATCAAGGTGTTTTTTTTCCCCACATGTCAGGCTTTACAGGATTAAAATAAATAAACCATACGTTTCAAATATAGAAATGCAAATAACTTGATTTTCACAGTTAAAATGTAGAGATCATCATTAGTTTCACTAAAAACAGCCCATGATCAAAACAAAAGTTTTAAAACAGATTTTTGCATAATATACTAATAAAAAATACATACATAATACATACAACTGTGTCCACAACTGACAGACTCCCATTGGTAACTCAGTTGCCTCACCATGTAAAAATGATATTTAAATAAAACATTGATATTTAAATGTCAGAAAACCTCCAAAATGGAATTTCCATTTCCAAAAGCATTTCCATTTTTCCATTTAGATTCTTTGCAATGTTTTCCCAACCATGTGGATGCTCACAATACTTGCGCTAATTAGCTAGTTGCTAATATAATTCAAGGCTAGACCTCATATCAAGAATCACACAAGTGGACTAAATCAGGGTTTTTTCGAACTGTGAATTTTTTTTTTTTTTGGGCAATAATGACAAATAAGAACTAATCATTTAATTATGCAAACAACATGTTGACTTCATGTTATCGGAGTTAAAACTACTGATATATTTCCCTGTTTTAAATAGATCTCACTCATTCTAAAACATCAAACACTGTACAGGCTCATTACGGGATAATGATCTTCTTTTTCTCACACACACATGCAGACATAACAGAAGCATAAGGAACTTATTATCAGAGCAGAAAACAGCACAATCACCCCCTTCATTCTCCTGGCTGTCCTCTGACCTGTTTAATTATGTCAACGTTGCTCATGCACCTGTGTGTCCAAGGCTATTACACCTCCCATCACTTAACGGCTTTTAGTATCTCAGCATCCTGTTCCACATCCAGCCACTTTATTGCCTCACCCTACAGCCCAAAAAACCCCTAATGTTTGAGTCCCCCTTGAGCGATACCGGCGCAATCGCGTACTTTAGGTGTTCAGCATTCAGCCATGATTGCTGTTTAACGCTCTTTGTTGAGGTGGGCTCGTAAAAACCAGGGTCAAGCAACAGAGGTGTGCTGTAGGCTTCCACCCCCCACCGGCTGTAATGAGACGCAGAGACTTTAATAAGATGGAGGATAGTGCACACATGCAGAAAGGACATTAGCTCGCTGTTGTTGGACTCCAATTCTCCCTCCCACCAATCACAGCGGAGGCTGATCTGCTTTCTCACAGCATCTATGATAGGACACATGCATTGCAGCTTGATGCATTTACACTCTCTTTGTGGCACCATTTTTGCATTTTCATTTACATATTACAGTATTTACAACCCTTTTTATTGTACATATTTACTTTGAATATGTAAACTGAGGGTCTGATTTTTATATCAGAAGTTTGATAGCAAAAATAGGTGCATCAACAGTCCACATGTATCAACACCCTGTCAAAGGGTTTCTATAAGAGAGCGAAACAAGAGAAAAGGGGAAGGAGGAGCGAGAGGTGGATCATAGCGAATCCGTGGAGGCTTATTGGTGCATTGAAGTCACATGATTGCTTTAGGAATGCTAATTCATGCTGTATTTTTTCTCCTCCTCTGTGCTTGGTGTAGTCTGTGCCTGTCGGATAGAGCAGACTTCAGACATGGTGTAGGATATCAGGAAAGGAACAAGCGATTGAAGTTGAGACAAGGCCTGTGCTGAGGGTAAGTGCAGCTTGATTAAGATGTGCAGTTGTTTATTGCTTCATATGTGATTGTAAATGTCATTTAAGCAGGAAGCCTACTTCTATTTCTATATGTCTCTTCAGGCTAAGAGTCTTATATCAACAGTATGTGTGGTGTGTATGTTAAATAGAGTGCATAAATGTGTGTATGCCTGTGCAAGTACGTCTCGGCAGTGAAAGCAGTTTACTTTGGAGAATTCCACCACATGTCTCCACTGCTTTCTGTGCGGTTACTAACATCAGAGAGAGCGACAGAGATTGACAGATATTATGTGGGCTTGAGGAACTAAAGACCCTCTCTAGTAAAATTATGCTTCTCCTAAAAATGAACATTCTTCCATCTTTTACTCACCCTCCTGTCATTACAAACCTTTCATAATTGTGTTGTTTTGTCCATTAAAGTGAAAGTCAATGGGGTCCAGGGTTGTTTGGAACCCATTGACTTTCATTGAAACATTCTTCAAAATATCTTGAGTGTGAGTAATTTTTTGGGTGAATCATCCCTTTATTGAGTCAACCTGAATATATAATTCAGTGTTATCAATGAGATAATGGTAGTTCAAGCCAAAGCTGAAGGTGAGTGATTTTTGTGGACATGCGCCACATCATTTGCGATGTTTTAAGGATTATCGATGAGTTTGCTCAGTGTACGTGTACACAAGAAGCTTTAAGGCCTCTCGCAAGACCAATCAGAGACAATACATTCCCGGACAGGGGAGTGTTGCGCTATAGTGGACTGACTGACTGACAGCTAGTGCTGATACAATTCATTTAACCTGTCGCCTCTCAAATAACAAGACCATCTGCACTCTTTCGGTACATTCTAGTTTGACCCAACGCTCTGTAAACAAATCCAAGAAGGCGACGCTAGTGTGTAATCTTGCCAGTGTCATCTTATGAATTTGACACTGAACATCTGGACTCTTTTGATCTGGGTTGCTTTAAATGTGATATGTTTCATAGCATGTTGTTACATGATATGCCATGGGTTCTTATGCAATTGTGTTGTAGAGTGAAATAAACAATAGTTTATCGTTAACCATTTAAGTTCATGTTGTCTTGTAGTACTAAGGTACTTACAGTTTGTTGCAAATGAATCATGCAAAGCTTGTCGGTCTAAAACCGCCAATGGGCAGGTCACTTCTGTACGGTAATTGGGGTAAGACCCTCATGTTTTACACTTGCCTTTCCTGTGTCATGGGGCTCACAATGAGCTTGAGTAGTTCACCCTCACCCTCAGGTCACTCTTATAATCAATCAAACAGGAGGGACACAACTTCGGATCCCCTTAAAGCTCCAGGAAATGAGGGGCACATTGAGTAGCGCATGAGGCTCCTGTAGTCAAAAGAAAAGAGATAGAACTTAGCACACTCATGCAAGGATTTTCCTTTATCATTCTCTCTCAAGGCCTGATATTTTCTGCAGAGGAAACATGTTGCATTTATCTCCTAACAATCTTTGTTTCTAAGTGATTAGATACTTGTTGAGTGCACACAGGTGGATTATAAAAACTGTCTTTGATTTTATTATCAAGAATGAACTAAATATAAGTGCAACAACACAAAATCACCAACAAGTAAATGTAAGGACTATCTTTGACCATAAACTATTTTCAAAGTTGATTAAAGCTAAATAAGAACACATGTTTGAAGACAACACAAGGCCACTTATGGACAAACTGTAGTTCTTCATTTTTGTGCAGAAAACTGGCAGAAGTGAATTAGTGATGCCATATTCTATTATTAGAAGTGATTTTGGACTTTTCCCCCCTAAAAAGACATCTATAAATATGGACAGTTGCAGCAGTTTGCATTGATTTTTGGAATTATTTACAGAATGCACCAGAGGAAACATATTTAAAGTTGGCATTAAATGAAAATCTAATTTGTTAATGCATGTTAAACAGTAGATGTTACTGTGAACAATTCATGCATGTATATATATATTTTTTTTAGTGCTGGGCAAGTTAACGCGTTATTATCGCGTTAACGCATTTATTAATTAATGCCGACAATTTTTTTATCGCGCGTTAACGCAGTTTTTTTTATTATTATTATTTTGAAAGTCCGTTGCTCACTGGCTCTGAATACACATAGGCCTACAGTCAAACCATGATCACAGGAGGGGTGGGATGTTGGTCAGCCAGCAAATAACCCACCCAAACAAGCAGTGGAGAGGCTTTGGCAGGTTCTCTCAGGTGAACAGAAAGGGAGACAGCGCCCCGCGAGTGAATGACAGGCGCTCTATGGATAGTAACCATGCAACGGCTTCTGTGCGCTACGCAGCTGTAGTCTTTTTAACTTAAATTAAAATTATACATAACTTTACCTGATAGGCCTGCGTTTAGTTTAGCGGGGATGCTCTGCCATGTGAATTCCCTCCTGTTGATGTCCTGATAACTATTTAGATTCTGGAAACTCACAAACAGCGAGCCAAGGATCAGTCTCTCTTCCAATGATTTGTGCTGCGCGTCGTGTACAAAAAGTTAGACAATTCAACTTCGGCAACGCGCGGGCGCGTGCGTGAGGCAAGCATGACCGCAACAGTTTCACAGGAACGCACCCGCTTGTCGCTGCACCTGTGCTCGACCACTTCACCTCACTCTAGGCTGATTTATACTTCTGCGTCGGACTTAAGCCGGAGCCTCTACGCTATAGACTACGCGTTGGTTTTCATTTATAAATCTGCGTCGTTGACGCGCAATTACACATGCAGAGGGAGAGTGTGAAACCCGGGGAGCGGTTCTAGCAATCACAGCGCTTGCAGTACGCGTAGAATTGACGTTACATTTTTGGAGAGATGCACGTCAGGGTACGCGCGCTACACAGCTACGGCGTGAGTTCGATGCAGAAGTATAAATTGGGCTTTACCTCTGTTTAATGTAATCTTACGTGGGAAACCATGGCATGCCATGACCAAACCTAAGCTGCTATCAGAGAAGTAACGTTGGTCGACTTATATCTGTAGTAGTGATCATGACCCTTTGACTACATAGACTGTTTCTGCTGCTCCCTGATTCAAGATACCTGTTCAAAAAAAAGAAAAAAAAAGAAAAGAAAACTGGACTCTTTTTAACAAGCTAGATAAAAGGTAATGCCCTGGCAGTGGCAAATAGCTTTGTTTAAATATTTGATTTGATTACGTTAATGTTTAAGTTGAGATTTACAAGAAATATTTTATTGATACTGTGTAAAGGGAATACTGCTGGTATAAAAGCACCTTATTTGTTTAAAGTTTTTGCAAACCACATGTTATTGCACTTTTGTAGCAGTACATTTAAATCAAAAGTGCGCAATACACTACTTTAGAATTCATTATTCAATATTGCGCGTAACAATGCGATTAATCGCGATTAATCGCAAGAAATCATGCGATTAATCGCGATTAAATTTTTTAATCGTTGCCCAGCACTAATTTTTTTATTTTAAATGTTGACCTTTAATCAATGTCTCGACCTTTCGGTAATAATGATGGACTTCTATTTGTTGTTTCACTTAAACCTAGTTCTTTAAAATCGGCTGCAAGCTCACATTCATTTTTGAGTGTAATGCCCACGTGTCAAAATCCAATCATCAACTGAGGGATGGAACCAATTCCCCGCCTGCTTTTTTTTTCTTCGATAATTGGATGTACATCAAAATATCTGTTGCTACTTCCATTTCATTGTGACTTTAGTAGTTGAAATATTACAACAGATATTCTAGTCCTGTTGACAATGATTTTATAGTAGGCCAAATCCCTCATGCACAACCCACAGAGCACTAAACACAATTGCTTTCACTTTTAACAGACAGGGACCCATTTTAGGCCATATATCACATGCTGGTGATGGTTTTTCTGAGGGAGGAGGTCTGTGTTTGAGCACATGCAGCGACCCCTTGATCTCTAATGAGCTATACAGGACTCAATATGCAATATGTGTTATGTGGCATCTAATGGTGAGATCCATCTCCAGCGATGAAAGCGGTGAGAACCAGTAACAGATGAGCGAAGATGTTTTCATACAGCGCTGTCCGAGCCCTCATGAAGATGAGACGCAGACCCAGCGAACGAACGCGTTCACCTCACTGCTCACCATGACATTCTTCTGTCATGCCTGATGATGCTCTCGTGTGACGCACCCATTAACACAAACTCAAAACAGACCATATGTCAGGGCTCTCTCTTTCATTTCTGACAGTTTCTGATACTTATCTGAAGTTTAGATATGTGCACAGCTCTTCTCTCCTGTCTTTCCTGAAGAATGACAAGTTTTGTCCTCAGAGAAAATATTTGGAGAATGGGTTTATGCTTGTGACGCACAGGTTCAAGAGTCAAAAACCGCCGAAAGTGATTAATCAAACTAAGTGCTGTATCAGTCCTTGCGTTCAATAGGTCATTACTACTATATCTAATATTTGCAAAAACAAGCAGTTGACGATGCCCTGATTTTTGTTAATTAATGCCATAATATAACACAATATAAGTAATATAACACAAAGTACAGTGCAAATTATTAAATAATTAAAAAAATGAAAATATAAATAGTTTTGATTTAAGATGTTAATATTAATTTATTTTTGATCCACTAAGGGGCCGTTTACACAACAGCGTTTTCAACTAAAAATGGAAGACTTTTTATGCGTTTTGGCCGTTCATTTAAACGACAGCGGTGTTTTGGGTGCCTGAAAACGCAAACTTTTGAAAATGGGTTTCAAAGTGCAAGTTTTTGAAAACGGTCTCTGTGTAAACAACAAAAATGCAAATGTCTGAAGACGATGATGTCATGCACATGCATATTACATGTTCAATCTATATTCTATAGTGTTTCATCGCCATCTAATGGCCAGGCAGAAGAATACAACGTTTTTAGTCGTTTTCGCAGATCCGTGTGAATGGGGATCGTTTTGCTTATGTCGTCTCTACGCAGAAAACTCAGGCATATCGTTGTTGTGTAAACGTACCCTAAAATAGTTCCAAATAAAGTAAAAGAAGGATCAT